CATCATATACTGACCACTCATTCGCCGCGACTCTCGGATATACAACTGATGCGTCCAATGGTTGTTGTCTTTGTACTCATCCTTAGGGTAACCCCACGTCAACATCTCGTCCCTCAAGGGTTGGGGCACTTGTGGGTCGTGTCCTACGAAATATAGGAATCCTTTGGTGTAGTCTTCGTGTTGTTTAATAATCTTATTTCGGGTTTCATAAGAGCCGTCCGGGTACTCATAATTCATACCAATCATATCAGTACTAAACGGACCCTCATTATTGAAGTCTGTCTTATGGTTAGGCATTAGATCTTGTTTTAGAAAACTTCGGATCAATTTTGGTTTTGTTTTCTCTATTAATCTTATAAAAAGTTGGTAATGTTTGGGGTTATAGTTATCCGGTTGTGTAATGTCTATTAGATTAGTTTTATTGTTTGTTAGGCATATTCTGTAATTATAAGCTTGTATCTTTTTATCTCCAGTTCCCTGTTTCATAAGTGTTTCACCACTTATTCCCCACAATAAACCACTGGATTTATTACCGGGGATTACATACGGATCGATATCATCGGGAAACTGATGACCCGATAACATCTGTACGCCGTCATGACTTTCATTGTACACAGCGTTGGCTTCTCTGCCTTTAATTTAAACATTAATTTTATTATAAGATAATTATTTGAATAATTATGGATTTCACATACTCTACAATCGGGACCGGTACTCCAGCGGGAGTATTGACGTTAGCTATTTGTAAAATCGGCATTACTGTTGTAATCACGATAAGACGCCTAGTGAACTGAAGTCGACAACTATTGAATCGACTTTTTTGTCGAGTTAAAAACGGCTTTATTAAGAGCTCAGTTTGTTTTGCGATTGTAAACGAAGTGAATACATACTTAATATCTGGTGAAGACGCTGCACACCGAGTTTTCATATGCAAAGCCACCAAAACGGCATAAAATTACCAACTCTTAGGTAAAAATCTTTGGCTAAACCAATGATCGCAGACTTATCGCCGTAATCAGTGAACCCGAGCCCACCAGATGTGACACCTCCCAGATGTCTGCCCGGCTCTATCAGTACAACACTT